TTCCCCTCAAATTTCATCAGTCTAGCTTCACTGATGAGATGAGCTCCTACAACAGGGCTGAAGTTGTGCCTTCCGAGATGCTTATGGAAAGCAAACAAAGTGTGAAGCCCTCATTCTAGAGACAGGTTTAAGTCCAGGTTCAGAGACTGTGACCTTCACACAAAGCACCAAAAACGTGTTAGGGTCACTTATAAGGCAATCAGATTTTTTATTCCCTCCCACTGCAGCTATTTTTAGCTGAACTCTTTGTCCCTATTCTGGTCAGACTCATCTAGCCAGATTAGGATTAAAAGAAGCAGAGCTAGTGGTCCCACAGCAGTGTTCACTCACTCTTAATTATGCACAGAAACACAATTAAAAGCTCTTGCTGCTTTCCAGATTTGAATAAAAGCAGAAGATAACCTTTTTAAGTTTTGCTTTATGCTTCTTTCATTCACAGCTTTTCAAGATCTTTGCACAACATCAGCAGAATGAGAATTCCTCCTCTGTCATCCAGCTGGGAGCACTGGGAACAGCCTTCCAATGGGACTGCACTGTGAATGAAAGCCCTAAAACATCCCACTGTAAACAGAGCTCTGTGCACTGGCCCCACCAACCCTGCCGTTCAACACCCTGCCAGTCATCACAAAAAATGTGTCAAAAGCAAGGGAGAAATATTAGCACAAGTCAGACCTGAGCAGTGAACAGCCACCTCAGGCTTTTAGGGTGCTCCTGGCAGCCTGTTTGCCAGCGCCTGGCCTGGCAGTCCTTCACTGTACAAGGTTCCCTTTGACTAATACAAATCACTTGTACACAGTGGCAGCAGAAACGGGCCCACAGCAACTAATTAATCAAATCTTAAAGAAAAATTAATGGAGGAAAATGTAGATCTGAATGAATGTCAAAGTACCATTCCAGTAACAGCCCCTCCATTGTTAGCCTGTGTGCAGAAACAGACACCAACAACTGCTGCCTTCTTGGCAAATGTGAACGTGACCAGAAAGCTGATCTCCTCTTCTGTCCAATTCTTCTGGTAAATCAAGGGGCAACAACTGATTTTTACAAAAAAAAAATATTAAGAAAATCCATGACACCACACTAAGAGAATCACAATGATTTGACAACTCTTCTCTCGGTGCTCAGTAAATTTGTCTCAAGGTGGAAAGCCACATCAGCACGACAGCAGGTTGTTTCTGTGCATTTGAACAGCCTGGTTCTGACTGGTAACTAGGCTAAAGATAGACAATGCTTGATTGACAGAGTTTTTCCATTTTTGTATCTCCGGGAAAGTTACAAGGCATACACGAGTACCCCTGATAACACGAGAGCTGAGAGAACAAACTGTAATAGATACCCAGATTTGCACATCCTTGGGATACCAGATGACTTATGCGAGAATATTACAATAAATTGCCTCTGAAATTGTGGCATGCTGCTTTGGGGAAGGATCTCTTCAGTGTCCTCCCAGGAACAGAACTTTTGTTATTCTAAATTGCTCTAATTAGCTCTCTTCAGAGCCCTGTGGCTATAGCTATTACATTTCCAACACAGCGACAACACTCTCCAGGCAACAAGATGGTTACAAAATGTACCTTTCAAACTAGTTACCAAAAGGCTATGGGAACTCAACAATACTCTTTATAATCAGAGCAAGATGTATGATTCTGTATTTTCAGCCTAAGGAGAAACTAGGCAGAAAGTAGGTATTAGACATTGACTCTTGGGAGAGTTTTCTCAAAATGTTTGCATTAAAAATTATAAATTCTGAATGCACAGATCAACCATTTTAGTACTGCTCTAACTAAATAAGGTTATCTCCCTACCCCAACCCACATTACAGGATTTAAAGTTTCTAGATTCAAGTAATTATTTAGTCTTTATTGTCCTCTGTCTACAATGAACCCAGGGTGTAGCTGACAATAATAATCCTTGCCTCGACAACCCTTGTAGAAGAAAAATTGTTATTATTTTATCCACAAGGATCAGTCCCTTAATTTTCCTCTACACATCTTCCCACAATGGGCTATGGAATACTATAGCCATGTGGTCTGATCTGAGATCTTTTCTAAAGGGTACAAATATGGATGTTTTGTCTTCACAGCTATATAGTTCAGTAACAATTTTACAGCTAAATTAACATTTTTTAAATTTGGTTTAAGTATTTCCTGGTAACTGGCCTGATAGGTCATGATAAAATATTTACAGAGATATTTTTTGGTAGGTTTTTTCCCCCACAGTTGCACCCACCACAGCTCAATATTTGGTTCTGCTTGGGAGGACACATGACATGTCTGATCAGAGATCATACGATACCCTTTTCCTTTACTCTCCAAACGTTAATAATAAAGTTCATATTGGAAACACAAATGTAATGGGACTCTGTCTGCTGGTTGAATATCAATAGACTACATCTTAGCATTAGGAGACAGAAGTAGGTTTGGGGTTTTTTTTAGAGAAACAAAAATGCCTTAATTTTTCATTTAAGCAGAAGTCTTACATTTGTGGCATTTTTCATCTTGAAGGATTACAAGTCTTTTTACTACAAGTGCAATATTAATAATAAAAAAGAGACATTCAGTTGGATAATTTTCAAAATATCACAGTAATTCCCTCACGCTCACTAAACAACTTTCCTGTAAGGGACTGAAAGTTTACTGACCTTAATTGTACTTGTAGAAATGTGGAAATGAGGTTAAGTAACAAGACTACAAAGTTAATCACTGGAGAAACAGGGAATGATATCCAGACTACTTGATTCTATCACCAGCCCACAGAAATTAGAGGTTAGAGCCACTTTTAACCACAAGTTGAAAAGCAGCAGCTGGCTGATGGTTTAGAATTCAGGATAAGCATCACTTACCACCAGATCATATCCAAACACGGTGTTTACGTGAGGAGCCAAAGCCTGCTTGATATGGAGAGGAGTGTTGGAAAACAAAACTGTTCTTGTTACTGAACACCTGTGACTGCCAACCGGGTCCAGCAACAGATGCTCGATGCTCCGTATTTCAGTTTAAAAACACCCAGCCCACGAGGTGGCACTGCAGTGAAACCAGAACAGCCTCCACAGTTTGAATCAGAATAAGGCATGAAAAAGTCTGAGGGTTTTTTTTGGTCAAAGTGGGACAGTACCTAGAGCCAGCACCAGCCACGATGCAAACAAGCTCCAATAAACTTGCGTGCTGTTCTTCTGTGCTGCACATGTTGTTTAGTCTTGACCCACCAGCATCGGTGCGAGCTGCAGATTTTTCTTAAGAGCTGTTCCACTTGCACAGATCACAACAAAATGCATTTTCACTGCGGGCTGTCTGCAAAGTTTGCCTGCAGAAGGCCTATGAATTGTCATTTGGGGTAAATGTGTTCTAATACAAGAAGGAACTTGTTCCAGACATACTGAGTCCAATTATATTTCTTTAGTTATTAATGAGACACGCTGGCAATGGCCTCTTCTCAACCTCTGGTTATCAATGCTGTGATTTTGTGATCAATCATTAATCAAGCACAACTTCCAAAAACAGTAGGCAGTGGAGAATGAAGAAAAGCTGAAATAGGTAGGTACCTGCTAAGAGTCTCAGGGAAAAACAACAAACAATAAAGATGAGACAGACAGACTGCTTGTCTAGGTTTTGTATGGAACCAATAATCTTTTCAGGAAACATTTTAAAAACATCAGACCTAAAGATCCAATTGCTTTCTCCATCTCATTTCTTCGTGGCCTTCTGTGAATATTGTCCTTTATGGCTATTCTTGGTTTTCTCCTTCCTCTGACCCTTCCTCAGCATTTGCAGCATCTGAAGAGATTTCCTCAACTACTTCTTTCAGTGTTTCTGAGGATGACACTTGGAATTCGTGGCTCATCTACTTTCTGGAAAGTGAGTACTGACAGCAGTGCAGCCGCTCGGTGTACAGACAGCACGTGGCACACACCCTTCCTCTTGCTCTACAGGCCATGGGACTGCACTAGAGTCACATCACAGAACAGCCACTGGCAAAATAAGACTCCTTGGGATCAAACACTTGTCATGCCACAAGGATAAACCCTTTATCCTGCTTTCTGCAGAGGCAGTGACACAGCTCATCGCATGCAAACAAACCTGCCCAACAAAGGCTGCTGTACTCTGCTGAAGTTTGACTGAACTGAGCAATGTCCCGCAGGCTTCTCATGCAGCAAGCCAGAAATGTCTTATATAGCTTCTTTTTTAGCAAATCCTTGAAGACATTCCTTTGAATAGAACGTTTACTGAATTTGCAGTGTGAAATTTGCATCTTTACCCTTCACGCTTTGGAGAGGGCACAAACATGGGAGGAATGAGGTGAATAGCTGGTGTTCAGACATCTGTGCATCATCTAACCCCCACTTTGGCGCTGTATGATAAATACATGACCTTGATTTTTTGTCCCCCTTTTAACAGGATAATGACAAACCAACTGGCAACACTGCCAAAGTTCAGCCCTCCCAGCACAACCGGGCAGGGCTCTGGCAGCCTCTGGTCACACGGGACACGTGCACCAACAGCTGGCATGAGCAGGCGGCCAAATCTGGAACTACTGGATTAGCAAATGTTATCCTGTTTAATGGAAGCTCAAGATTTCATTAAGTGGAATTATTATCCAGCAAGAGCACACATGGCAGTTACACGATGAAAACCTCCGCATGAAGGTTTGCAAACTGCTGACCAGCGCTACTGGCCAGAGGGTTAAAAAGAGCTGAAACGTCCCAATTTTCGCGGGCACAGCTGGCACAGGCTGCGATCAGCGAAGGACGCCGAAGCCGCACCAAACTCCCTCAGGGCGCCTCGCGCCCCCTCACACAACAAAATGACGGCGCCGCGCGCGCCACGCCCGCGGCCCCGCCCCCTGCGCGTGACGGCAGGGGCCGAGCAGCGCGCGCCCCGGAAGAGCCGCGGGCTCCGCCTCCGCCCCGCCCGTTCTGCGCGAGGCGGCGCGACCGCCCCGCCGATTGGCTCCCGGGCGCGTCACTCCCGGCCCGCCCGCCCGCTGATTGGCGGCGGCGCCGGGGGCGGGCGCAGGCGCGGCGGGCAGGAGGGCGCCATGGCGGCCGTGGCCCAGTGCGTGCGGGGCGCGCTGCGCCCGCGGCTCCCGCTGCGCCCGCTGCTCCCGCTGCTCGGCGCCGCCGGCAGGTGAGGGGCAGGGGGAGGGCCCATCGCGCCGCAGCGCCCGCCCGGCTCCGGGCACCGGGACCGGGATGGGGACGGGGCCGCGAGGAGAGCGAGGCCCGGCCCTGCCGCGCGGCCGCCCCGCGCTCCCCGCCGCTCTCGCCGCCCTCCCGGGCTCTCCACCGGGAGGGCGGCCCGGTCCTCACTGCGGGGAGTACGGGGGGCTCCGGGCCCGGGGTCTCGGTGCGGGGGGGGGATCCGAGCCCTTGTGTCATCCCGGGCTGACCCTGGGCCGGTTCGCTCGGGCGGCTCAGCTCGCAAAGCCCGAGGAACGTCACGAGGGGATCAGCAGTCATTATTTACGCGGGCAGGCCCGGGGGGCGTGCGGCGGGGCAGGCACCGCTCCGCTGATCCCCGGTCACGAAGGTCCGCGGCTCAGCCCTGCCCTGCCCTGCTCCCGTTTGTTTTTCGGGAGGCTGTTGCAGGCGATTGCATCACGGAATTTCTGCCTGATGGAGCACTGCGCTGAGAACGAGCTCATATTCCCCTTTAAAAGTGTTGTGACTCTATAAACTGAATGTAATAGATGGACATTTACAAGCTGATATCTTGCAGCAGTTATTTCTTCCCGTAGTTTAAATGGCCGGAGGTCTGTTTCTTCTTACGGAGGGTTCTGCACACAGTTTTCACAGGCCTAGGATTGTCGTGTTAATTTGTGCTCTGATGTGAGGATTTTGTAGACACTGATGTGCCAGATGTAGTGTCCAGTGTGTCTAGAAAATACTTAATATATTACAAAATAAGCAGCTGATTAACATTGTCCATGTTTTTGCCTTAGAACTTCTCCACGATTGCTTTGTGCGGCAACACAACAGAAAAATCCTGGCCAGAACTTGGAGGAGGACCAGAGTCAGAGCCAAAACGAGCAGAAGGCTGAAACCAGCTCTGCTGAAAAACTGCTGGCTGAAGAAAAGGCTAAACTGGAAGAACAACTTAAGGAAGTCACTGTAAGTGTCTCTGGGTTATCGGGTCGCACACCTTACCAATTGTGTGCCCAGGTGCCTTCGCTGTGGGTTCTCAGGGCACAGTCTGGATGCAGTTGTGTGGCTCCTGCTTAGTTGTTGAATAAAACCTGCAATTTGATCACTTCTTTATGCCTAAGGGTAGACATATTGCAAGACCTGAGATGCATCCCTGGTCCAAAATTAAAGTTTTGGATGGTTTCTTTCCAGTTTCTGGATGGAACTGGACCCTCTCCAGCCTTGAAATTTATTGCTGAGTTTAACGTAGGTTTTGCTCAGTGGAGAAGTAGTTTTTAGAGGTCATGAAAGGGTTTGAGAGTGTGTCTCTTGTGTGTGCCTTTGTGTGTGCTAAGATGAATTTCTGGAAACAGCTGCCAGCTTTTCAAAGGTCAGAATTAATGATGCTTATACAATATTTTTATACAGTAGTGTACTTATGCCATACTTACAAAGTTTTTAACCTGTCTGAGAAGCCCTTCAGACATGAGGCTGAGGGGTCACATCCCCTCTGTCTGGCCTCATGTATCTTGCATTCTTTCTCTTGCACAACTCCAGCCCACCATGGAGTTCTGGGTTCAGTGGTGAAGCACTCAACCTGAATTTTTATTTTATTGAATTCCAGTCTTAGTACATCATGCTGGCCAAATTGCTCGGAACAGACCAAAACTTGACCTGAGCAACAGAGAAGTTAGACTTCATTAGTTTGTAAAGATTGTTTAAGACTGGAGGGCACTGTGTGGTGTGCATGGAGAGGGAAGAGATGGTTTGAGAGTCATGGCTGGGTTGACTCACTTGCTGTAGGGTCAAAGTACCTTGTGACTCAGGAAGGCTTTCCGTGAGCACACAGCAGAAATCTTGGATTTATGAAACTTGATAGATGCTTAGAGTGAAAAATTTCTTCCAGCTAATCTGTTATCAAATAATGGAAGTCTGGAAAATCATCTTAATTCCTTTCCCTCACTTTCTGCTCTAAAGTGAAGCGAACATCTGCCCTGGTAGAAAGGAGGCTGTGTTGTCTTCAAGGAGGATGTGTTGTCTTCACATTGCTCTAGATGATGGATTTAGGCTATGAAACTGTTTTAAATGCTACTTTATTCTGAATATGCTAGTTTGAATTATTGTCACCTACCCAATTAGCAGGAATAAAATCTCTCCTGTCACTGTTTTTTTCTTCTGTAGGACAAGTACAGGCGTGCCTTGGCAGATGCGGAGAACGTGAGGCAAAGAAGCCAGAAACTGGTAGAAGAGGCAAAGTTATACGGTCAGTGGAGGCTCCTGTTGTCTTTACTCAGTGAGACCCAGGAAATGCAAAGCCTGGAAAAATTAATCTGAGTGGTACCGACAGGTTCTGCTTCCCAGTGATTCTGAGTACTTGGTTAACAGTTGCATTTGAGGCAGAGAGGTTTGAACAGTTCCTCACTTTGCATCAGATTTGTGACCATCTCCACAGCCAAAGGCAAGGCTTAAACTGCTGGAGCCAACAGCTTTTGGGGACATTTTCTTTACATTTGGTATCTGGTTTCCTACAGTGTTTACTGCACTAGTAGATTTTTTTTTTTTTAGTAAGGTTTGCAGCTTGAAGTTTGCTGTTTCCACTCACCTTGGTTTCAGATCTGAACAAGAGCATGGAATACTGCCTTTCCTTCTGGTTTGGTGTTTCCTTCTGTTTTCTTCTTGGTGTTTATTTTGGATTTGGTTCTTTTGGGGCTTTGTGGGTTTATTTATTTTCTTTAGCCTTTTCTGTTTGAATAACTGTCATGTTGAAGGCCATAACTTTAAAACAGAAGTAACACATTTAGATGGGTGGATTCTTTTCTGTAGTAGGGATGCACAGTCAGACTATGAGGAGCACTAGAAGCACGTCTTTCTTTAAGAGCCAGGCTACTAACATCTGATGGAGCTTTTTGACATTTCAAACACAAATCTTTAAAACAGAAATTGTATGCAAATGCTGCAGCAGAACAGTGCTGTTTCATCCTGGTGTTTGACTGCCACGCTGACTTGAAAACGAGTTGGTCTTTTTTGCCACACACTGTACTCAGCTGTGTAATTTAATTCTGAGTACAGAAGTTCTAATTTCTGAGTACCAGGGTCTTCAGTTGATGTGTACTGTAAGAAAGGGTATGTTCTGTTCTTGCACCCTTTTCGTGGGTGTTTGAACGCTTCATCCTGAAGCTGATTTGCAGTAAGTCTTGTTTCACTAATGTGGTACTTGGGGCAGGAGGACTTTGAGTCAGGTCTGAGCTCCGAGATGCTACAATATAAATAAATATTCAAAGAAGATTTATCTTGAAAACTAAACTTACAATAATCTGTAAATTTTATTGTTTGCACGTGACTGCTTCTTCTGTTGAAGGAAGAGAAACTAATTTCTGAGACTTGCCTAAGTTCAGAGTTGCAGTCACAGATATTTGCAAATACGACTTAGGCAATAAAAAAAAACCAACCAAACCACCCTCTGAAGAGTTTGGTTATTTGGTTTGATCCAGACCACTAGGCAGCTGGTTTATCTGTGTTTGGGATACTTCAGCCCTAATCACAGCTTTAGTTTTTAGTTTAAAGCTGTGGTTGTTTTGTCCATATTTTTGGAACTACTTGGACACTGTTAGTTACTGTATTTTCAAGGGCTTGAGTCTCCATGGAGTTGTGCAGTTATTAAAGTGACCCTTTCCTGAGAACCAGCAGATCCCTATAGAACTTGCAAGGTGCTTCCATAGTTTGGAGTTTTTTTGTTTAAATCGAAGACTTGTCTTCTAGTAATGCTCATAGCACTTCTTGGGAAGAAAAAAAACCCTTCCAAAATGTGAGCTAGAACTGAAAAGACTCTCTGGCTTAAAAAAAGGCAACTAAAAACTAAACTAAAACCCAGTGCCATTTGTCCGTTGTTTAACTCTATGTAGAAATGTGTTATTGAACTGTGTTGATTTTTCTTGATTGCTGATTCACTTTGCCTTAAGTGAAATTAGTCCAGATTCTCTTAGTGTGAGCCAGAGAACATTTTCAGAACAGGGACTGTCATTAGCTTGGGAATTGCTCAGTCTTTGCAAAGCACAGCTGCTGACTCTGTAAAATTGGTCTGTAGTGGGATGGAGAGGTGGGAGTTGTTTGCATTCAAGGAGGAATCCCTGTTCATCTCTTGGACTCCTCATCAGTCTGACCGCATACTTTGTCTTCTGCAAATATTTTGTCCCATCAGATTAAAGGGTAGGAATAGGGCAACGTAATGCTTGAACTTCAGGTGAATCCCAACATGGGAGAGATATTAGGAAATTAGGAAATGAAGCCATCTTTTGGTAACTTTGGTTAGAATTTTAACTGTTCGTGTTAGGTCATTAGCTAGCATAGCTTTAGCTCTTTTGAAATGACTTTTTTTTCCTATAGAAGTAGAGGAGATGATGTGGATATCAAGATATCTGTAACAGTTGTATATAGATATCCAGAACTGGAAAGGATGTTTTACCCCAAATGGTTACAGTATCACATATCATCTTAAAAATCCAAAGGACTACAGAGTATTGCTGTAGGTTTTGGCGTTGAGGGGGGGGTTAACGCTTCTTTCCATCAGCGGACTAATCCCATTCCCTTCTCTTTTACATATTTTTAGGGATCCAGAGCTTCTGTAAGGACTTACTAGAAGTTGCAGACATACTGGAGAAAGCAACGGAAAGTGTTCCAAAGGAAGAAATTAAGGATGATAATCCTCACTTGAAGAACTTATATGAAGGTCTTGTTATGACAGAAGTACAGATTCAGAAAGTGTTTAAAAAACATGGCCTGCTCAGACTGGATCCTGTCGGAGCCAAGTTCGATCCCTATGAACACGAGGCACTGTTCCATACTCCCATGGAAGGGAAGGAGCCTGGCACTATTGCATTAGTATCCAAGATTGGCTATAAGCTGCACGGGCGTACTCTGCGGCCTGCCCTGGTGGGTGTTGTGAAAGACCCTTAGCTGCTCAATCTGAGATTTAAAATGCCATACAACTATTAAACAGCTGGATGGTTTTTGTCTCACACCATGCTTTCCTCATTCCTCTGCTCCCAGAGAGGTTTAAATGAGTTGGTTGACATTTCCCAGTGAAAATGAACAACTGATGAAATTCTCCTGCTTAGTGGCCTTCTACATCACTGTTCCATAAGCTCTTCTTTGGTGTAAAAGAGCCATTAAGCCCCCTAATGCTTTAGATTAGCTTTTTACAACCATTGCTCCTGAAGGTGCATTAAATTGAAAAGAATGAAATGCTCACGAGAATTTTGCAGTCTCACGTTTATCACTGTGTGTAGATTGAAAATCCGGATATTGGTTCAGACATTTTCTTTGGTTTTGTGCGATCTCTCATCGCAGAAGTGGGTGAAGCAGTACAAATGACCTGCTTTCTGCAAGCACCCATCACTTTTTACACACTGATGTGATAAATGCCATGTTTTCCCTATTCAGAAATAATCTCTCTCAACAACTGAAATTGAAACCTTTGTGAATTCTGACCTGTAAATAAATGGCAATGGAGATTAGTTACCTTTTGTAATTGTTCAACCCTTTTGTCCTGTACTAACACTGACTCAAGAAAACCATCTAATACTTGTATGGCATTGAAGAACCAATAGAATTTATCCTATCTCTGGATTTTTAATTTAATATTGTATAAATTGGTTTAAACAATTTTGATAGTCTTGTAACTTCTAGCTTTGCAATAATCAGTTTGTTACGCAAACTGTAGTTACAACCCTGCTGAGAGCCAGAACACCCAGAGAAGCTGAGAGATGGGTATATGATTTCTTTCAGACTTACATAAATTGCATGTGAGTGGCTCAAACAAAAATGCGAACTCAGTTTCACTTTCATTATTTCCTGCATTTACACAGCTTGGATCTTAGGTTGCACCAGAACTTTTCCCAAGTGCAGTTCTTGCCATGTCTAACTCCACCCGCTGATCCCAATCCTGCAGAATCAGGCTGAAATACAATTTGTGATTAACTGAATGTTTTGTTCTACATCTGTCTGGTCACCTGGATAGGTGTGGGTGGAACTTGGCAAATGACACAGCTGACAAAGCACCCGTCCTCTTGTATCCTCAAAGCCCATATGTTTCACACACAGGACAGACACTTCAAACTTAGGGAAGTTGTTAGGACCTGGCAAACAGTAAGTACTACTGAGTTTTTTACCATGTTTCTGGTTATCTTGGATTAAGGAGCTTCTTACCTTAAGGTCAAGTACTGATTACTTTTCTTTGGTGCAGATGCAGAGTTGCCAACAGCTCTTTGAACACTAGACCTACTCACAGTGAGAAGTGATTACTTGTTCCCTAAGACCTTTTTTCCTGGTACTGGTTTGCCTCATGGGAATCAAACAGTTAACTAGTCAACCTAAGTGGACACAACTGTTTGGAAGGTAGTCATGTTTAAGGATTCATTCTTTCTCAGCTCTAAGAAAGCAAGCTCTGCCCAATGCTTTGACTGGGCAGAGGAGGGAGAGTAATTATTTGGGGTGTGTGCAGACAACTACAATGTTAATGTCTTAGAACTACTCACGTACAGGGATAAAAATGCAAAAATTGAATGTAAAAACACAGGAAAAAAAAGGGGATTCCATGTATTTAAGTTGAATTTGGAAGTAACTGCCCTCCATCTGGGTTCTAAGAGTGCACTGTAGCTGTGTGAAGTAGGATTGTGTACTTTGATAAGGACCCATTCTAAACCGATGCCATAAAGGGACCAGGATCAATTTTATGTATCTTTTAAGTACTGTCATGTGTTGATTTGTCTTGTCCCAACCCCTCTGGATCTAAACTAAATGTAATAATAACTTCCTTAGTATAGAATTTTTTCAATAGGGCATTAAAACAAAGGGACAGCTCCTTCCCTGCTGAAGAATTTTTTTTTTTTTTAATGAGCTTCCCACTGCCTCAGCAAATCCTTTTTTGGACTACATTACTTCATTCAGGGAGTTCTTAAACACAAGTTCCTGTTAAATGTTCAGCCCAAGATTCATCTTTGAAGCTGAAACTGAGTTATTTAAGTGATACCTTCCCTGGCCTGCCCTCAGAGAGGCTCCAGCACAGAGCATGTCAGTCTGTACGGAGAGCTCCAGCCACCTCTGTGCTCTGCCATACCCCAGGAAGGAGCACTGAAGGAATCAAAGAACAGAGGGAAGTGTTCTGAAATTTCAGCAGCCAACAAAGCTACCACCAGTACTAGCTCTTTCATAAATGCCACTTTTCCCCCATCACCGTTTAGCTACAACGTGTCTGCGTTTGTCATTGCAAAGACTTTGTTTTCCTCACTGCAAAAGCTGCGTCCCTGTTAAATCAGTCATGGGAAGAAATTTTAACACAAGTTTATTTACCAATACACAATGCAAAAATGTCGTAAAATGCTGTGTGCACAACATCAGTTGGGTTGGATGTGATTTCAGCACAGGTGTTTGTGTCTGGCACAGCTACACCAGTACCCAGTTCAAGTGAGTGCCACATTCCTGTTAAGGGAGAAGGAAGCCTATGAGCTGAACGTGCTCACTGGGTGCCTTCCTTCACAGTGTTTAGTGTGTCATCACTTAAGAGCAAAAACATTCTGTGAGAAGAGAGTGAACAGAAAGGCTCATGAAGAAGTCTTGTTTCAGTTACAAAGAAATCTGATGCAGTGGCTGCACAAGAGAATAACATCAGAGTGCTTAGTCTGTGTGATTTACAAGGCAGTTCATGGTCAAAGACTTGTGCAAACCCACTGACACTGCTGTTAAGCTTCTGGGCCTACAATGGGGCAGGAGAGGCTGCAGCCAGAACAGTGCAGCAAGGCAGGCACTGCTGGGCAGTGCAGTCAGCAGGGAGTCAGAGCTCCTCCAACACATCCCTGGGACTGCACAGACTGACTGTGGCCTCTGACCAGAGCAGAAGGTCAGTATTTTGAACAGCTTAGAGAGTGTTGCTTTTTCACAGGTTTACATCAATGCTGTTAAGACAGATACTATTCATTACTAATAACTTTAATTAGAAAAGTCAAGAGCATTAAGCATATAAAACACCTTGTCATTAGCAACATGAAGGCTGGGTTGTTTGTACAGTACAGGAAGCACTTCCAGATCAACACAAGATAACAAGAGCTCTTTGACATGTTTTTCCTCAGCCCCTTCACCACAGAAGAGAAGCAGCATAGCTCTAGTAAGTTGCTGGATTAACATTAACTGCATCTCAACTTAAAAACAATCAAACAGAAAACCAGCAGCTCATAACAAAGGAATGCTTAGACTAAATCAGTTCCATGTGAAATACGGAACAGCAGCATCCTCTAGTGCAAGTCACCTTTAAAACTAAAAGCATAGCTGACCATGAGACATTGCTTCTAGGGAAGCCCTTTCCAAGGGACTAGTATTTGCTAAAGCAAACATTTACCACCTCGAATTTGCTTGCAAGTACAAAATAAATATTGATATCCATATTTCATACATTAAAAATACTTTATTTTACATTCATTTTGATGTTCAATAAGTTACGTCTAGCACCAAAGAAACATTTTGGAGGGGTTGAGGAATTAAGCTACAAAGTGTAAATGCAGAATTCATTTCAACATTTAAATGACTCATTGGTGCCTAGATTTTTTCCTAAGTTATTGTTCAGATGGGCTTGATGCTATTGCTTCAGTAAGATGTGCCAAAACAGTGTAGAAATATGAAAATCACAGATTTGAAGGAAAAAAAAAATCCCAGAAGAACCAACAACAAAACAATTCTCCTAAATTCCCAGCTACGTGCAGAGTTGAGGCTTCATAACACCAGTGTTATGGCAGTTGGGTAACAAGTTGCAGGAAGAACCAAATTGCATAACTAGAATACTGGAAAGAAAGACTGAGCTTCCTTCCCACAGGAGCAGGGCAGAGAAAATAACCAGGGGTTTGTACCTCACCAACTTGCGTGCTGCTTGTACGTGCACATAGGTTGGAAGTGGTTCCTCAAGCTGCTCAGCACACTGCAGTCAGCTCCACTGCTGCCAGGAGAGACAGTTTGGTCTCAAGGAGGCCACAACAAACCACTTACGGAGAAGCCAAACAAAGTATTACATCCAAGAGGACATAGCCCTTAACTTTTTTTGAAGGGACATAACATCATAAGCTCAAAAGAAAAAGGCACTAGAGTTTTGGTTTTTTAGTTCCTTAGAAATGCTGGCTTTGTAATTGTACCCCTTTTATTCTAAACTCACTGGTAACACTATTTTGGTAATGCTGGATGTATCCACTGAAACCAGTTCCGATCAGAATACCTCTGCCAAATTGCAGAATTAATACTGTTTCAGGATTTTGTGATATCCTCACTGACTACAGCCCAAAGCATCAAAGCAAGATGACCTTTCCAGTGCTTGCACTGGTTTTGAAGCCAGACAGATTCCAGGTTTTGGCACACCTGCACTCCAGACCTGCCCAGCTGGTCTCCAGTCACAGCTTCCTGCTCGGACAGCAGAAAGGTTCAGGCACAAGTGACACTGCCATCTTCCATGTGTGGCAATCACCAGTTTTTATTCATTTGGTTAAATGAATTTAACCAAATACCAGCACGGGAATTTAAGGATGAAATGAGCACAAAAATCCTTTCATGGACCTCCTTCAACATCTTTCCCTTAATCAGTAGATCTTACTAGAACAGTACTGTGGATCTGGCATTCCTGTCACCTGCTGTGTTACATCCCAGCTGGTGCCCAGCTCCAGCTCTGCTCCAGGCTGTACTATCAGAGCTGGGATGAGTTCCCTCTCAAGGTGCAGTCCTGTCAGTAATTTCACTTTCAACGTGTGTAGGCCTGTAGTACCTGGATTGACCACTCCACACTTTAGGAACACAGCTGTGCATTTGGACATGATCTGCATCACTTCTTACTTTTGCTTTTAAAGACCAGTCTCAGTGATTGTGCCCCATTTGAGAATCTTGCTCCCTTTTCCTGACCTTCCCAGCTGAAGTCTGGAGGCAGCTACACCTCCTCAGTAGGAGCTCAGCAGTTACAGATCCCAGAGGAGGAGGAGCAGGCTCCTCCAAAAAGAGAAAACAGTGATTTTGCTGCCTGAGGCTCCCACCTGCTGCAGGACAACTGGCTGCTTATTGTCCCCAACCCCATTTCTGGCCCAAATTAGGGACCCCACAATAGCACTGACTCCTCCTCTGGAACAGCACCACAGCTCCTGGGTATTCCTGCAACCACAGTATCGATTGTACATCAAAGCTTCAGAGGGGTCTATTTCCATAAAAACTCAAGCCAAAGCGATGCCCAGATCAGCTGGGCGTGAAGGGAGCTCCTCAAGAACCTCCTCCACAAGTCCCTGAAGCCTCTCACCTACCACATTTCCTTCCACTCCCTGGCACGGCCCATCCCTGCTGTACTCCCAACAGGAACTCGCACCCGCTGTCCCTGTGCCTTGGCTGTATTTGCCAAGGAGAATGTTCCAAAAGCTTAGCAATGGTCACAAAAGTCCCTTCTCACCCTGCTCCCGAGCTCAGGACTGTTGCAAGCTTCACTTTGCTGCCAGCATTAGGTCAAAAAGAACAAAACAAAGGGTGAAGAAAGTTCCCAGCAAATGAAACTATCTCCTACCTTCAAAGAAAAGCAAGGATTACACTGATACTCATTTATCCAATAGAATGGACTAAAGCAACTACTCTGGGACTACTGGACTTGAGTAAGTTCACATGAAAAAATCTGTTCTAAGAATGTACCAAAAGCAGTGAAATCCAATGTAGAAGTTTCACAATTGAGTATTTTCCATGATCCAGAGAAAAGTCTATTTGAACCACCATGGATCATGATGAGTGGGGGGGTTATGTATTTGCTTTTCCCGGTTTTAAGTGACATGGTTTCTGTATCTTTGGGGAGGGAAGGAAAAAATAACGGAGTCCTTGAGGCTGCAATGGGCCTCTGCTGTGTTTTCTCAGGTAGCTGAGTTTCATGAAGCATCCCTGGATATCCAACCACTTTCTGTCAGAAAGTTTAAAATCCTTTTCTTCAGTACCTTATCTAAGTAACTGGGAAGGCGACTCTTTGAAGGAATTCCTTGTCTTTTTTGGAGATGGTCTTTAATGATAATAGTTTTTACAGTCAGATAACGTGCAGGACTCAAGTTTAGAGAGCTGCAGAGCACCTTTTCCCTGTCCGATAAGAGTTCAAAGCCAGGCAGGTTTTCAATGGCAGCAAATTCACCTTCTTTACCCTCCTCCTTCCCTCTCTTGGAACTAGCAATGTTTTTGTTCTCCTTCCTCTTTTCCCGTTTGTGCCTGGCCGCCTCGTACTCTGCCGACTCCTCCATTTTGGTGATCCCATTCCGTCGATACCGCTGCAGCTCCCGAATCTTGGCTCGGAGTATCCTCTCCTTGTGCATGTTCTCAAAGAAGTCCTCAAACTCCTTACAAGACATGAACTGGTACAACGGCCTCAGTTTCAGCCTCAGCTCCTTCTCTTCCTTTGTGATCTTCCGTTTGGGAGTTTTCTCCTTGTCCTTTTTGTCCTTCCCCAGGAAGGCCGGCACCAAGTTATAGTCCCGTGCGATGTTCTTCCGCCGCTGCCTCTCCTTGAGTTTCCTGACGTACATGTCCACGTGAGCCCTCTTCAGCTCTATCTCCACGTCGTCGTCGTCGTAGTTCACCGAGAGGCCGCTGATCAGAGTCTCGGCGTCCTGGTCGTACTCGATCTCGTAGTCGTCCCGGAGCGGCATGTACCCCAGCTGCTGCTGCTCCGCCACCGAGATGTCCAGCGGCGGCAGCGGCGTGGTCAGGCTGGGGGACAGGGGCCCGCCGCTGGGACACGTGTGGTCCGTCACTCTGTTGGGGATGGTGTCAGGGATGCAGGCTTTCCCCAGGTTGCCGTGGATGTACATGCTCACGTAGTGCTCCATCACCTCCTGAGGCGTCCGGGATGCTCCCACGTGAGCAGCCATGTCCTCCTAAACGGAAAGAAAGGAGGAGGGATAAAACGATTCCCATTACATCTCCAGCATAACGAGCACTCAGGTAGGAACACAACGTTCTCCCTGCTCCTCCAAAGACAAGTGTCAGTGCCTACACTTCTCTAGGACGCTCTGACACCGGCTGTGTTCCCATCAGATCCGCGTTTTCAGGTCCGGGTGAGCATTTACGAGTGCCTGGGGCAGGTAAGCCATAAAAACGGCACCAGGAACATGAGACACTGGATCCACACCGGATCCTGGGCATCCACCACACTCTCAGAAAGCAGCTTACCATCGGCAGGAAGCTTCCCAAGTCCCAGGGAGCACCGACAGCACTAGGCAGCCTGGGGTTTGTTCATTTACATCACAGTGCTGAGGTGCTTTTAGAGCAATGTGGAAATAAAGACAGACAATGTTTACAAGTGAGAAAGACACTATTTACTCTTTTCTAGCTATTTAGGAAATAGGCTGCAATGATCATACATTTTAAGGTTTTGAAAAAGTCTTTACATTTCATGAAGCAAAACATAATCAAGTAACAGTTAATGAATCAAACGAATCAAACAGTCAGCGGAGGACCATGAGGGTGACAGGCACTGGAGCATCTCTCTTAGGAGGAAAGGCTGAGGGAGCTGGGCCTGTTCAGCCTCGAGAAGATAAAACTGAGAGGGGATCTCACCAATGTTATAAATATCTGAAGGGAGGGTGTCAAGAGGACGGTCCAGGCTCTGCTCAGTGTGCTGAGCAAGAGGACAAGAGGGAACAGGCAGAAACCGATGCACAGGAAGTTCCACCTGAGCATGAGGAAGAACCTTGTTACTGTGCAGTGACTGGAACAGACTGCCCAGAGAGGGTGTGGAGTCTCCCTCACTGGACACATTCAAGAACTGTCCGGGTGTTATCCTGTGCAACGTGCTCTGGGATGAGGCTGGACCAGATGGTGCCTTCCAGGCTCACCCGTTCTGTGACTCTGAAACGCTGCTGCTCCCTTATGCCGGTGTTTACAGCCCGGGCTGGCCGCAGGGGACACGGCAGGTGACACCGCAGGGGACACGGCAGGTGACACCGCAGGGGACACGGCAGGTGCGCAGCCCGTCCGCAGCCGGGACACCCTGACGGCACAGGCCGAGCAGGGACAGAGGCGGCTCCCGGGGCTGTGACACGGGCGGGCCGGGGAGGCAAACGCGGACCGTGGGGCAGCTCCGAGCCGGGTGCGCCCCGGGGACCGCCCGGAGCCACCGACAGCGGGGCTGCCCCGAGTCCTGTCAGCGCCTCCCGCCCGCGGGGAGCTCGCCCGCACCCCGCGCCCCTTACCCAGTTGCCGAAGCCGAACTGCTCGATGGCGTCCAGCAGCAGCTGCTCCTCGCGGCTGCTCCAGCCGCCCTCGGCCTCGGCGCCCCAGAGGGTGAAGCGGCCGCCGTCCACCAGCTGGTAGCCGTGCCATCGGCGGTGCGGGCCGATCTCGGCGCCCGCCGAGAAGCAGTCGGGGCAGAGCTCGATGTCGTTGCACTCGGTGCAGCGGAAGCGCAGCGGGCTCACCTCGGCCAGGCAGTACACGCAGTACTTCTTCCCCAGCTCCGCCATCTTACCCCGCCCGCGCGCGCGCGCGGCACCGCCCCCCGCCGCACCGCGGCCAATGGCAACGCGCCCGGGGGGCGGTGCCACGCGGAAGCCCGGCCAATGGGGACAGGGCGCCCCGGCGCGGGGCGTGTCAGAGAGAGCGGGCGGCCGCGATTGGCCGAGCGGGGCCCGTGCGCCTTCCCCGCGGCCAATGGGAGGGGCGACCCCGAGCGAACCCGCCGCGGATTGGCAGCCCGGGGAGAGGGGGCGGGGCCGAGCGGCGTTGCCCGGCAACGGGGGAAGCGGCGGGGGCGGTGCCGGTCGTGCCCGGGGCTGCATCGAAGGCTCGAAGGCTCGCAGGGACGGGATCGGCGGAACGCACGGCACAGAACACACGGCCCAGGGGTAAAGAGTGCACTCCTTTCGTTTTCCAGCACAGGCGGGAACTGCACCCCTGTGGGACCAGGACTGCGGAGCTGCTGGTTCCAGCTTCAAAATGCCGTGTGTGTGCATTTAAACAAAGCACACAAATCTCGGATTGCACACATATGGGGATAAAGGGCAGATAAACCGATATAAAGAGACAGCTGGGAACGGCTCACACCTTCCTCTTTTAAGTCGCCTCTGAATTAGGTTTTGTGAATTACCTGCATATTTGAGTGACAAAACATCAAGTTCTTCTTAGACTACTGAATGTTCAAAACTCGTTCTCTTGTCATAGCAAGGCTGTATCAGTCCTTTCACACTCCTCCTGCAGTAGTGACTGATGTTCTCCCGCGGCCCTGAGCTCTGCAGAGCTGTTGCACACACACACAGGAGCAGGGCATGGCTCTCGCTCTGCAGATGACCGAGACACCCGTGATCTGCGGCAGCTCCAACACTCAGCCCAGGAAGGGACGTGACACAACTAATGTTCAAAAACTTTTCACAAAGTACCACTAGGTCTGTCTCTGTGGTGGTTGCTGGACAGCAAAAGGAGACAAGTGTAACTCAAACCACATCTCTTCAGAAAAACAAAAAAGACGTGAAAATCTGTACCTTTTATCATAAATCCTATTAACAAAGTGAGCTCTGCTGGCAGAGCGGCTGTTGCACAAGTTGAGAATGCTCCTGCTGTTCCCTGGAGTTCTCCTAAATCACTAAGGACGATCAGTGGTCATCTCTCCTTTTTTACAAATTCCTGCCAGGAAAATTCTTACACTTCTTGCTGCTTTTGTGTTAAGACACACAAACCTTCCTTTAACTTGTTAAACACTATTAAGCAGTAACTGTAAATAGATTAAGGGAGGGGAAGCAGGGAAAATGAATCTCAGGTGCTTTTCACTGCTGCATGTTTGACATTTGGAGAAGGCAGGAAGGTGCAGGCAAGGTTGAGGGTGTAATTCTCTGAACTGAGTGTTTCTACTGAAACAAATACTCCCGAGACACTGTTTAAACTTCACACACTGTCCCCAGGACTTTTTCTCTCAGCACTGAGTTGCAACAACCCTCTGCTACCCTAAACCTTCCAAAGCACCCTGAGGATGAAGATCAAAGAGGTTCCTTCATTGTCCTCCTGTAAATACAGGAAGACATCCCACTGGGAAACAGTAGAGACAAATGTCTTTTTAGTTCCTAATCTCATCTGCTGGCACAGAGGAAAATACTTCCCTTCAAACAGATTGGAATTCCTATTGGGAACACAGGTAAGGAAAATTGTATCTAGTTCTGAACAGATTTGTGCAACTCTGTAAGAGATACAACATAAACCTCTCTTGGTATCAGCTTATGGAGAGGAATTCTGATTTTATATCCTAATTCAGCAAATCAAACAGGAAGATACTTCAGCAAAAGGAAGTGGGATATATGCTCACTGGAGAAACCAGAACTTCAGCAGCCAAGGCCTCCTTGTTGCACAGGTCCTGCCTTCTTTCCACTCTTTCATCTGTCTTTTATTTGGTGCTTCAGCCTCTTCTCAGTTAAGCCACAGGAAGCCTCTCCACTTCAGGCTCTGAAGTTATGCCTGTTTAAGAAGTAAAACAACACTGCCTAAAGCACAAAAATGCTTTGTGATTATAAAACTTGCAATAAACCAAGATTTCTTCTTTTCAAAAGAAGATAGGATAATGTGTTCAGGTATTTCTGAGTTTTGCACATGTCACAGAAATGTATTTACAGCTCTTTTTCAAAATATATTTATCAGATCTCAGACCTACTCCCGAGAAAGGTGTATGAAATGGGATTAAAGCGTGGGCACCATACAGTATTAAAATCTGCTAACTGTCTCATAAAATTTAACAGGTATTTTAACCTGGAAAGCATCAGCAAAAAGTCCTCCACCTGCAATACATAAATGGCTCGAAGTCCTCTTTTTGGACAGACAAAAACTGCCAGAGAAACCTGTGAAAAACAGAGAGGTACTGGGATTTTGAGTTTGTGAATTACACCAACAACAGGTGACTAAGATAACTTTACATGACTTTATTTAACAAAACCATATATTTACAGTTGAAAAAAGTTCCAGTTTGATACACATATCTAAACAAACGTAGTAACTACAGTAACCCAATTTAAACATGATGTACAGGGGATGTATCAACAGTTCTCTGTATGTCATTCTACTTCTTAAAACATTCAAAAATAACCTGTTACAAGGTACCGTTTTTTCCCGAATGAAATTGTTTACTAAGCGAAATAATGTTAATGACTGATTGCAGATTGAAGTTGCAAAACTGCTTTATTATAAAGTGCAGATTGTACAGAATCCCAAAGCTGGTTGAAGTTTTCTAGTTTCTCTGATCTGCTGCACCTACAGTGGTACTTCTGTGTATTGCAGCAGTTTTATTTTTCCTCAAACACAAGAAGAAAAGAAAGTTTGCCTGATGGGGACATTTGCTCAATGAAAGAAAATCTCATGCATCTTGTTACAGATACTCTCAAGCACCTGAACAATGAAATTGTCAAATTCTTTAATGCAATTCCCTGAATTTCTTAAGGAAGATTTCTGTAACAGCTAATTAAGAGATTTGGTATGCTGCAAGAAACTTAAAAAGCTCACTGGCAAGTAATTCTATGCCCTTACTACTCATCTCTGTTTTTTATCAAAATTCAAGCGTTGCCTTCAAATCAAGTTACTAAGAAGTTGAAACAACTGCATGTTTAGGCAGGTGATTATTTTTTCACATGTATTTTGTTTGAAAACAAACTGTGCAAAGCTCCTTATTGCATTGCTGTTTCTTCATTAAAGAACATACCTTATATACACAAAGAACTCATTTAGAAAATATATACAACTTCTAAGAACAGAAAGATCAAATCACAAAAACAAAATAATTACATTTGCAAGTAACAAACAGTGCACGAGTGTTGCAGCAGGCCTTTTTCCCCACAGCTGTGCCCACTGTCACTGTTACATTCAACATCTTATTGAGACAAGAAAAAGAACAGGCTGTCGATGGCTGCCAACATACCTAAGTAGCTAAAAAATGCGTTTTTAACCAGACAAATGAGCCACACTTGTAGACTTGCTTCAAAAGGAAATACAAATGTGGTTGCAGTGAAGACTTAAATTGCAAAGCCAGTTACAGTACCACCTACAAATGTATACTGAGGAAAAAGTTCTCTCCGTGTTTAACAAACCGTTTAAAAGCATAGTGCAAATGTTTTGGGTGGTAGGCCTCTCGTATCCTTCGTGGAAAGGCATATTTGTTGTAGCAATAGAAAAAAGTAATATTAAAAAACACTTACTGACCTTCCTGCTTTCTACTGCACTTCAAAGCAATGTAGCATACAAGTACCAGTCACTGGAGAACCTAAGATGTACAAATTCTGGGAGAATTAACACATTTCCTATCAACACCTTAACGTCTATTTTCAGTAAGTGATGACCTAGAAGAAGTCTTGTGGAGCAATTAAGATGACCAACAAAAAATCCACATCCATTACACCAGGTACACAAAGTGAACAGGAAAAGAGGTCAATGAGGTATCAGGCTTGCAGGCTGCATTTGCATTACACATCTTTCAAGGTGATTATGAGTCCTCACTTACCAGGGAATCTTGTTCTCACTCTTCTTAATATTCCAATCAAACTATCCCTCACAGAAACGCTGTCTTTACCAGAAGACATTTCCTTGATTAAGTCCCACAGTACTTGACATTAAATGTGGAGTTGAGCAGTGTACAACTATTCTTCTCATTGTTTCATTCAGACTATGCCAAAATAATCAGCATAAACCAGACTGAAGAGCATTGGGAAACCGCTGACCACACATCTGGAGGGTTTAGCAACCTCTGTTTACAGTTAACACAAATATTGCTTTAGTTACATTTCCCTTTTCAACGATGGTGACTATAAAATAGATTTTATACTACACACTATGCAATAAACATTCTTGTGAAGCAGAGGCACTCGTGATTTGCCCTTCAACTGGAGGCAGAGGGGATCTGAGATGTGTTAGGGGTTTATGTAGCCACGGTTTGCTGTTGGTTAATTTGCTCTCATGTATTAGAGGCCAGATAAAAGGCTCGGAATGACAGGTTGTACTTATCCTGATGGTGTTTGTCTGGCATATTTCCCAGTAAACTTCTTTCACTTGTCACTGTATCATCAGCTCCACATTACGCTTTCCCCGGAGCAGCAGCAGCAGGTCCAGGAGATCCCACAGAACCTTTTCTTTCCAGCAGCAGCATTGCAGAACCTGACTGCTCTCCTCACCCTTCCTCCCCAGCTTTGCCAGGGAGCAAAGCTGGTTTTAAAGTAACTATCAAAATTGCTTTTAACCATTTCTCAGTTTATCTGCTCAGCCCCCAGTTTTACCAGCATGACTGGAGACATGAAAACATGCCTTTAGTGGTATGTGACTGGCTTTAACCAGAGGAGAGAGAGTACAACTGGGAAATGATGCCAGCTTAACACTAGAACCCTCTGGGTGAGCTTAGGATCTAGTCTGATTAATGGAATTTCCTTCATATGCATCCAGATTCAAAACAAATTTCCAAGGCATCTTGAAGAATAATTGGTTTTGCACTGCTAGCGTGACTTCTC